CTACTTGTGTTAATCGACAGCTATCCTTATTAAATAAGTCCCAAACCTATTATTGTTTGTACCCTTACTAAAGATTTTTAACAGTGATTAGTAAACATTGATATTTTAAATAGGTGCCCCATTGTCTTGTGCAGGAATCTGCTGCCCTCTACTTTCTGTATTTATAAATAGTTGTGTTGCTCATCACAGAATTAATTATCCATAGCACTAACTGTCTCTGAGTTGTTTTGGAAACCGCAAAAGGGGGAAGTGAAGAGAGAGAGAGAGAGAGAGTATGAGACACATCTCCTGTCCATGGAAAAGCTGTTGCTGAGTGCAGACTAGAAGCAGGGATTATTAGGCAAGTGCTTCTATACTCAATAGTTTACTATTATTGCCCATAGCTTTTGGGTGTATATATTACCCAGGGCTTTTTTTCTCATAGGCGCAGAAACTCACCCCTAACAATAACAGTCAACGGGGCATTGTTATATACCAGGAGTGCATTATATACAGAGTTCAAAGCTGACAACAGAGCTCCAGGGGCATCTTTTTAAGTAGTGCTTTCAGCAAGCTGTTGTAGAATATACTTTATATGAGTGGCATATATTTAAGTATGGAATGTATGATGATATGTGTGCAGGAAAGGAGTGCAGTGTGTATGGTGGTGTGTGCAGGAAAGCGTGTGTGTTGTATGGAGGGTAGAATGGTGGGTATTATATGCAGGAGAGGAGTGCAGAGTGTATGATGGTAGATAATATTTCAGGAGAGGACTGCAGCATGTATGAAGGTAGGTAGTATGTTTAGGGGAGGATTGCGAAGGAGTGTATGACGGTGGGTAGTATGTTCATGAAAGGAGTGCAGAATGAAGAACAATGGGTAGTATGTTCACAAAAGGAGTGCAGAATGTATGACAGCAGTTAGTATGCTCAGGAGAGGAGTGTAGAGTGTATGACTGCAGGTAGTATGCACAGGAAAGGAGTTTGGAGTGTATGACAATAGGTTGTATGTTTAGAGTGTGGCGTGTAGAACAGTGGGTAGTATGTTCCCCAGGGAAGTGCAAAGTGTATGGCGGTAGGTAGTATGCTCAGGAGAGGGGTGCGGAGGAGTGTATGATGGCAGGTAGTGGAGGAGAGGAGTTTAGATAGTATGAAGGTGCATGGTGTGAGTCGAGTGCGCCCCTGTACCTTTAAGGAGGGGTGGGCTCCCCCAGGTCCATCTGCCCTTGGTCTATCCATTAAATACATGTGCCTCTACTATGGGGGCTCTTAAAACTGAAGAGTTAGGAACTACAGAATACTGGGATGCTGTGCCGAGGCTCTGTAGCTTACGAATGTATTTGCAAATGTATGCTAACTAAAACCCTGTTTTTAACGCATACTGTTAGTCAGGTTAATTTGTTTGTTTGCAAGCTGGCTGGCAAGTTAGAGCTGGGAATTTTTCTTTTTTGTTGTTTGACATGCGCCGCCCTTCCATCTGCTCCTTGCTGTGAAGGCCAGTTATAGACTGGGGCAGTGGACATTTTTTGTACTGAGCAATCCTTAATTCAATGCTCTTGACTTCCCACAGCATCCTGCCAGCTTACCTCTTCCTAGGCTATGTACACTGGAACTGCCTTAGACATTAACTGTACTGGCAGCAGAAAAACACTAAACTTGACAAAAAATGCGTGTAAATGCAATACTGTGTTTAGTCGCATTTACCCACGTTTATCGCTTGGACGTTTATTAATTTCATTGGCCAGAGTACTTGCCATTGAAATGAATAAATGTCCAAACACTAAACGCAAAGTGCTTAGGAGCGTTTACACGCTCATTTGCCGCGTTTGGCGTTTTGGGCCAAAACGTTCCTCTCCTGAACACGATTCTTCTGAGTTCAGGAGAGGGATGCTTAACTGCCCCTAAACTCTGCTGCTCCTACACTCTGATAAAAGCTTATGTGTGCATGGACACATAGGTTTTTATTGAGTTGAGTTCAGGGGGTTTGGCAAAAAAATGTAAAAAAATCTCCTAAACTCACGTTTAAGAACAACAGTGTACAAGAGGCCTTAAATCCTGGAATGAACTAGTGGAGGTTACTCACTACCTGATGGTATTTCCAAAGCTGGGCAGTAATCTCCCTTCCCACACGTATTCCAACAGCAGCCGGCAGTAGAGATGCTATGTCTCTGAGCTCTTTCTGCAGCCTGCACTAGAGGTACTGAGAGAGAACACCAGAGAGTGCAGAGGGAGATGGAGGTAAAAAGGCCGCAAGGGTACTGTTGAGCCACTGGCAGAACCGGGATAGGAATGCTGTACACTTATAGATACAGAAGACAGGCTTTTGTGTTTACAAGTTACAGTAGTGAGCCCCAAGCATAGTGCCAGCACCAAAGGTGGTGGAACTCTGTTCTGCCATGAATAAAAGCCCTGTATATACTGTATATGAAGTGTGGCATTTTAATTCCCGGAATGCCCGCAGCGTAGCACTGGTGGTAAGTCACACAGCCATTCGCACTCCAGTGTGTTCTGACATGTTCTAACTTGCACTCAAATAGCCCAGATCACTTGACTCGGCCATTATGAAGTAGCAGTAGTAACATGTAGTAACAGTAGAAGTAACATGTGTTTGCACTTTTGTGTTGGTGGAAAATGAGTGGCGGGAATCTGAAATGGCGGATTAACATCACATTTTGTGTGAAAATTGGCAAAAGTGTGAGTGAAACTGTAGCTCTGTTACAACAAACTTATAGTGAACATTCCATGAAGAAATCAAGTGGTTTTGAATGGCTTAGGTCATTTAAGGAGAAGCGGGAACATGTCTAAGATGACACAAGAAGTGGGGAGTCAAAAAACACAAAGGACGGATAAAAATGTGGACAGCGTGCAAACCCTCGTATGCTCATATAATAATATCATGGAGGAATGGAGGATCTGCCTGAATCCAGCTCTGTGCCTGAGAGCAGTGGATCTCAAATCTTGACAGAAGATCAGAAAGAACACCATCTTCAAATTTCATCCGATCCTTTGAAGAATGTAACAGGTGTTTGGTACGGTTATTACCGATACATTCCAAGAATTAAGTTGTCACAACTCATATCTACAGACTGGTGACAGAAGTATATCTGTCCCCTTATTGTTATCTAACATGCACTATACCAGATGACTACTGTAAGTCTAATATGGAGTGCGTGTGTAGAGGTCACCTTGCTGTATGTTGGTAATTACAATGATATGGTGAGGGGGGTCTGTAGCTGTCATCATCCCTTGAAGCTAACAAAGATAGAAACACTATGGGTGGGACTTTTTAAAGCACTGATCGACGAAATGTAAAAAATGTAAAGCGCAAATGTTAAAAAAGGATATTTTATTCAAAATCCATTAAAAGAACATATGTACTGACAATTTTGCGGTCACAATTGCATTAGGTTGCATACTAGATCATACATCTAGTAATCTCTTAGACTGTAAGCTCCAAGGAGCAGGGCCCTCCTAACCCTCTAGTATTGAACTGTATTGTTTCTGCATTATCTCCCTTTATTTTGTAAAGCGCTGAGCAAACTCTTGGCACTATATAAATCCTGTATAATATTAATAATAATCTGTAGTCAAGCATCCAATGTGTTTCGAGATCAGTAAACTTCTCTTCTTCAGGGATGCAATAAATGACTATGGTACATTCTATAATATAAAACCACAATCCATATAAACAGCTTTATGCTGAATATTTTTTTTGCATGACGTTGATTTGCTACAAGATAACATACTGGTCAGAATTGTCAGTACATTTGTTCTTTTAATGGATTTTGAATAAAATATCATATTTTTTAATTTGTGCTTCACGTTTTTTGGCTCGTTGATCAGTGCTGCATTTAAAAAGTCCCAGCCATAGGGACTATTTCTTTCTTTGCTGTATGTTGGTAGGTGAACCTGTTCATTGGAATAATGTTTACATCCAGCTCTTGCTATTTTAGTTAACCCTGTCCCTACAGGTTTATCTCAATATTCAACCCCCCCCCCCAAAAAAAAAGAGGGCTATGATTGCTTGGTACGAACTGTGGATCTATTGTTTTGCAATATTCAACACCTCCCCACTGTACATAACTGAACTGCTTGAAGTTATTAGTCATGCCTTAAGGCTGGGGCCCTCTGATGTGGTCCTCGTCCACAAACCAGGGAAGGGTACTTCTAATATATCCTATGGGTTGGATGCACTTTCTGAAAGCACGCCAAAACTCCTGAATGAAGGAGTTTTGGTGCACTTTCAGAAAGTGCACTACTCCCCCAAGATATAATACTGTAGAAGTCTATGGCAAAGTACAGCTAACCAGCAGGAAAGCAGCAGGTGCAGTGTGCTGCACCCATGGTGATGGTAAACCACAGCACATCAGTGTGAAAGTAGCCTTATGGGGACTCAGGACAAAAGGGCTTGTTTACATTTGTGGTTTGGGAGGTGGTAAAATCCCATGGTTGAGACAAACGTTTACCATACCCCCCCAACCACTGGTGTAGTGTCAGGGGTTCATGATGGTGACCCTGCTCCATGCTCCAGGGGGCCCACACCTCCTTGGACAGGAGGAGAAGCATATTAAGGAACTGATCCTCTCCATTTTCCTCCTGCAACTACTGAAAGACGGCTTCTCCTCTCCCTCCCACTGGCATTCAGCGAACGAAAATGTTCATTATGCTATTCAAAATTAAAGACTCGAAATTCTGAACCATTTCATTTCATTGTGGCCCGCGACCACTTACCAAATCACATAGGTGGCCCTCGCTCTTGAAAAGGTTGAGAAATACTCCCTTAAGGGGAGTTTTCATTTATACAAAACAGAGTTTTTGACCCATTTTCATATTATTACTTTCTCCTTTTTACTTTTTTAATTTATACTGCTCAGCAAGCAAGTTAGACCATTCAAAATTAAGGGTGCTCAAGCATACATAATAAATTATATGCAAACACCTAGTAAGGCCCTGACTAAAAGCCGATGGTGGTTTGTATGAAACTCAGTGCATGCAGGTTAGGTGGCAATAAAAGTTGGGTTGTTACTTACTTTTCTGGTTTTTGGGTTGGTCCTCAAGGTCATTTGAAACTGCAAGTAAATCTTCGGTAATTGCGAGGGAACCATTGTGGGGCTCAGGAATAATACCCAAAAGTTCACACATTAGAGGGTATATATGTATGCTTTCAAAGGGTCCAGAAGTGTAATTCTTCTTGAAATCTGGACCAAATGCTCGGAATATCATTTGCATGTCCATTTCTAAGTTGTCAAATCCATGATCTCCCTTGTTAACATAAAAAATCACTCTCTGCAGAATGGAATAGAAAATAAAATATCATGTAATATTATCTAGTATAATATAATATACTGTATATTAACTAAACCGTTACAATTTGTGGAGTGAACTACAATGTACATAGAGTTGTTTGATTTGTACGCATATTATTATATTTATAAAATCCTTTTAATGCATACATTTAGGCATAATGGTATTTCTTTTTATACTGTTCAGAACTATATTTTTACAGACATAAATGCAAAAGTATTAGCCTCTGCAGTGTTCAGGTTGATGTAGTCTATTGAGATGAAAAGTAAACTTACCCATTCAAACCAATTTACAGACCCTCCATTTATATTCAGTGCCATGAAGTTCTCGAATTAACATTTACCTTTCACTTATACTACCATTTTAACCTCATTAGTTGTCTGAGTAGGAGTCATAGGAGCCAACACATAATTCTAATAAACAACAAGCAGAAACGATCACCAAAGAAAATATATCTAACCTAAATTTATAGAAGTATAGTTAGTATAAAAACTGCCCCATTTCATGTACTTTTAACAAAATGGATGAATTACATTTTAAAGTGGTATTAAAGTGATTCTAAAAGCTTATTTTTTTAAGGAAAAAATAACAAATGTCTTATACTTACCTGCTGTGTGTAGCGGTTTTGCACAGAGCAGCCCAGATCCTCCTCTTCTCCTGTCCTCCACCGGCGCTCCTGGCCCCTTCCTCCTGTCGGGTGCCCCCAAAGCAAGCATCTTGCAATGGGGCACCTGCTGCTTCGTATGTCCACTCACACATGGAACCACGACACGGCCCCGCCCCCTCTCTCTTCTCATTGGCTCACTGGCTGTGATTGATAGCAGTGGGAGCCAATGGCTCCCGCTTCTGTCTCAGCCATTGAGAAGGTGGAGTCCCAGGACAGCCAAAACTCCAGTGCACATCGCTGGATCAGAGGGGGCTTAGGTGAGTATTGGGGGGAGGGCTGGGGGCACTGCTGCACAAAATAAGGTTTTTTACCTTCAGGGATAGAATGCATGAAAGTAAAAAAATCTTAAGCCTTTAGAACCACTTTAAACCCAAAAACAAAAATGTAATATATTGCAGCTTACCAATCATCAGATGCAGTGGCTGTATTAGTTTTTAGTTTTTTCCTTATGTTTTCCCCTGGTGATCTGGCCAGTAACATGTCTCCTGTATTACACAGACACCACTCTAAATGATGGAGTATAGGGGACAGATTTGGATAGCTGCATTGTCAGTCTGGAGGGAGGGGAGTGTTAGAAGTACTAGTAGATTTAAATACAGTAACAAATCAAAGCTGAACTCCAGCTAATACTTTATCATCAGTAACAGCAAACAGTTTTTTTTCATTTGGGATAAAGATTTTACGTAAACAAAAACAGCTGTTCATTGAAGCACCTCTACCAGTTTTAAATGGTCTGCCTCATCCCTGTAACTGCAAGAGAACTTTCCTGTTGAAAAACAACAGACTTACTGGCTGGATCACCAGATGAAAATAGAGAAAAAAAGGAAATTAAAACAGCCTTTTTTAAAATCATAAACATGTTATACTTGCTCTGTGCAATGTCCCCTGCCAGTGGCCCAACCCCCATGCAAGACACTTGTTATGGGAGCAGTCGTGCAAGCTCGATCTTTAGCTGCGCTGTGGGTGTTCACTAACACACACAGCATGGCTTGCCCCCCCCCTCACTGTTCATAGGTTTTGATTGTGCCATTGGCTTCTGCCTCCACTGCCAGTAAGGCTAGAGTGAGAGAGTGGAGAGATCTATTGCTGTCTGGCACAGCATTGGATCAAAATCAATCTCAAGTACGTATTTGGAGGGCTGCAGGAGAACAGAACAACAAAGGTTTTTTCTATCCTAATGCAGAGAATGCATTAAAGAGGAGCACCACCCAAAAGGGGAAGTTCTGCTTTAAGGCTTTGTCCCCTGCTCCCCGATAAGGAATGCCACCTTTGGGGAATGGGGGGGGGTACCTGAATTTGTCAGGTACCCACTCCCACTTCCACTGCGATCACCTAGGTGATCGGAAATGGAAATTGCCTCCCCCTCACGTAACAGATCGCAGAAGAAAATGGGACCATTCACAAAGTGCAGCGCTACTCGCGCATGCACACTGGGTGCCCAGCTGTGAAGCTGCAAGCTGTCACAGCCGGATGCCCGCACTGAAGATGCTGCTGCCAAGGAGACAGGATGGTTGGTCAACCCAGCTGGTGTGAGGACACGGGATTGCGGGGACAGGCGAGTGTCCATTTTTTAACCACCTCCCATCCAGCCGTTGTATATAAACGGCGGCCGGTGGCAGTGCAGGGTCGTTTATAAATGGCCTCCCCGCCCCCTGCTTGTGCGCGCTCCCATGATCCGGTGCCCGCTGTGTGTTCTCCGGACACAGTGAAACACCAATTGTCGTATGGGACCTCTGTGCGAGGTGCTGATCATGTGATCACTGATTGGCCAATCACTGATCACATGCAGAGTAGTAAGCAAGATGTCACTTCTGATATCATTGCTTACTACGTGTGAAATCGGTGAATGATCACAGAGGTCACATGGTACAAGGCTATTTACAAAAGCCTTGTACCATGTGACAAGCTGTGACCAATCACAGCTCTCACAGTATTTCTCAATGGCTGCAAGAATGCAGCTAGAGAGAAGGAGAAATGATTGCTTTTACAGCCTTTATGGGTGTAAAAGCAATCAGTGTAAAAAAAAAAAAAATCTTCATCACTCCCCACAAGTAGTACAGTGTCACCATGGTGACACTGTACTGCTAGGGTGACAGTATGTAAAAAAACCCATAAATAATAATATAAAACCTGGATCCAAACCACCGACTCTACCTCCCCTGCCGCACTCTTCTATGGAGGTCTCACCTGGACCCACTCACCCAGACCCAGCGGTCAAAAAGGTAGTGGGGTCGGTATGCTCCTGTCACCGCTGAGCACCTTCCAAGTCCTCCCAATCCCCCCTCTCTATCCTTCTTCTCCTTTAAGGCCTACTGTATCCGACTATTCTCTCCAATCCCTCTGAGGATTGCCTCCTGGACCCTTGTCCCACTTCCTCGATGACTTCTCTGCCTGGTTACCCTTCTTTCTCTCCTCCGAGCTGCCCACCATCATCCTTGAAGACTTCAGCATCCCTATCAACATCAATAACCCGGCTACATCCCAACTCCTCCACTTAACCTCTTCTTTTTGCACTCGCACAGTGCATACAGTCCACCACCCACTCCGACAGGAACACCCTGGACCTTGTTTTCTCTCATCTCTGCACCCCCCACAACCTCACAAACACCCCTTTTCCCCTCTCTGACCACAACCTCATCACCTTCTCCGTCTCCTTGTCCTCTAAAACCTACCCCTCCAAACGTCAAACTATCACCAGCCAAAACTCCGCAACCTGAACCCTGCCCCCTTCCACTCTGCAGCTGACCAACTTTACGACAGTATCCCTGTCTTGCCCTGACCTGGCCACTACTGTTTATAACAACTCGCTGTCAGCCGCTCTTGACTCCTTAGCACCCCTAACCACACAAAACATTAGACCCCGACCACTTCATCCCTGGCAGAATGACCATACCAAAAATCTCAAGCGACGCAGTCGTGCGCGGGAGCGCGACTATGGCGCAAAACCAGATCCCAACAAGCGTTCACCCGACATAAATCCGCCTTCCTCACCTAAACATCCTCCCTCCATGCTGCCAAGCAAGCCTACTTTGTAACACTCATCAATACCCTCTCTTCCAGTCCACGCCGGCTCTTCTCTACTTTTAACTCTCTACTCTCTCCGCCCCCACCTCCACCCAGCACCTCACTCACCGCCCATGAGATTGCCAATCACTTCAAAAACAAGATCAACGCAATTCGTAGGGACATCACCACTGTTCAGACTTCCACCCCACCTAGCACCCCTCACACGGAAACCCCCTCAACACCCCTCTCCCTCGACCTCACCACTGTCCAGACCTCAACCCCACCTAACATCCCTCACACTGAAACCCCCTCAACACTCCACTCCTTCGACCTTGCTACCACTGAAGAGGTCACTAAGGTCTTCTCAGAAGCCCACCTCACCACCTGCCCCCCCCTCGACCCTGTCCCCTCACAACTCCTACGATCTCCCTCTTCCTCCATCTTACGCTCCCTCACCCACATCTTTAATCTCTCCCTCTCTACTGGCGCATTCCCCTCCCCTCTGAAGCACGCACATATCACTCCCATACTTAAAAAACCCTCCCTGGATCCCACCGACCTGAACAACCTTAGACCCATCTCCCTGCTGCCATTTACATCCAAACTCCTCGAGCGCTTAGTCTATAATCGCCTAAGCTCCCACCTCAACGACAACAACCTCCTTGATCCCCTACAGTCTGGCTTCCGTCCCCTACACTCCACCGAAACTGCCCTACTCATACTCACCAACGACCTGCTAACCACCAAAGCTAATGGCCACTATTCAGTGCTCCTACTCCTTGACCTCTCGGCGGCTTTAGATACAGTCGACCACCCCCTCCTCCTCAAAAAACTACACTCTCTTGGCCTCAGAGACTCCGCTCTCTCCTGGCTCTCTTCCTATCTATCACAGCACTCCTTCAGTGTTACCTATAACGCTGCCACCTCCCCCTCACTCCCCCTCTCAGTTGGAGTCCCTCAAGGCTCTGTCCTCGGGCCCCTTCTCTTCTCCATCTACACCTCCTCCCTTGGCCAACTGATATACTCTCACGGCTTCAACTACCATCTCTATGCTGACAACACGCAAATCTATCTCTCTACCCTTCGCCTCACCCCTTCAGTCTCCGCCCGAATCACTAGCCTACTGAACGACATATCGGATTGGATGTCACTCCACTTCCTTAAACTGAACCTTTCCAAAACTGAGCTCCTAGTTTCCCCCCCCCCCCGCTGACTTCTCCATCACGACCAACAATGCCACCATCAGTCCCACCCCGCAAGCCACAGTACTTGGTGTCATCCTAGACTCCAATCTCTTCTTCCAGCCCCAGGTCCAAACGC